ATATTTGTATGTATGTATATACTTTGTACCATACCAAGCTTCATGTTCAATACCTCCATCCCCACTACTACTATGCCAAGGTACAGTTCCAAAGCATAGCATAAAAGCATTTAGTTAGCCGTGAGTTAATGAAGTTCCCTAAACCCTAGAAGAAGCTGTACAGTGCCATCAATCCTCACTGCTTCCATATGCTTTGAAATCAATGCTCACAAAGGAATTCTACAGAGAAAAAGAGTATATATATATATATATATATTATATGTGTGTGTGGTTGCTTGCTTGCTTGCATGAATGTATCAGGCAAGCTGTATCTGTTTATGATTGGGAGGGAGACTTGATGTTAAGCATCCGAATCAATCCATTCCTCGTCCGAATTGCTAGGAATCGGAACATTAGGGTTAAAAGGCCGCTTCGCCTTGTCGACAGTTAAGGTCCTCGGTGTTGAGATGTCACGAAAACACTCACCCTGTGGGGAAGTCGAGAATGGAGACCAGTGAAGAAGAGGAAATGTGAAAAGTGGGGGTTTATTATGAGACAGAGTTATGGAAAGGCTTTACGTTGAAGGAGGCTACTGCTGCCCTCCCTATAGCCAATGCACGGACGGGACTCTCCCTGAAACATCGCTTCATTCCTACATGGTCGGTTTCGGAAAGAGTGAGAATCGGAAAAAGACATAGTGAAAGCGTAAAAAAGCGAAACGTGGAAAGACACGCACGAACAGAAGCAAACAGAATTGGTGGGAGAGGGCGGGGGAGGGGATTCGCGCTTACAGTAGGTGTGGATTCCTGCTTTGCAATTTCCCATTCCGGGGTTCCCCCCTGGCCATACTAAATCCCCTCCAAATATGCTCCGAAATCCCCAAATTCAAAAAGTACCGAGAACCCAGTCGAAACAATCCGACGCAATACTAAATATACACATGTAAAATATTATAAACGACAGAATCGCGTGAACAGGCTTGTCAATCCCTGCTCCGTAGCGGTCAAGGCGCCAGCAAGGAGCAGCCTCCGCCCACACCCACATCCACCGTGCTCGGAAACAAACGGAAGCCATCACCTCCGAGCGCGAGAACCGGGGCGCCGCTATATATACCCGGATCCTCGACCTTTGCACAAACGGACGTAAGCAGGCAGCATCGTCTCGGCCGGTCCTGGTTCGACCCGGCTCTCATCCACGCGGAAGATCGGATATTATTATTATCATCTCCGAGAATAGCAACAATGTTGAATTCTATGGATTGTTCTATTATTGGGTATAGTGAAATAAAAAAATATATCTGGGTGTCTGCAGGGTTGGGGTGCCCCCCCCCCCCCCCTCCCCCCTGCCCTCACGCCCTCTGGTTGGTTGGCTGCTCCTCTCCCCTCTTCCTGCTCCCTTTGAGAGGAGGAAAGAGGAGTCTGAGTGGTAATGGTAGGTACCTACTTAATACTACTGGGACTGGTGAGTACCTAGTCTAGTGTAGTGTAGTGTGGTCCAGTGTAATCCAGTCCAGTCCAATCCCAGTGAGTGTGAGTGGGGTTGTGGAAGTGGGCTGGTGCGGGCGCTAGTTCCTCCGAGTGGGTACGCAGGAGGGTCGCATTACATATTGGAGGGTGTCGGACGCCACCTAGACATTTTCATGGAGATATACCATTAAAGTGTAGAGGCCAATCATGACCTGCTGCAGCTGCCGCTTCGTAGCTACCTATAAGCAGGAGCAGGAGCAGGAGCACACATGGATGGATGAACGGGTAGATCAACAGATGAATTTATTCTTCGGATGCTCCATCTTAATTTTCTTTGGATGGATGAATGAATGACAGCTATGGACTTGTCAAGCTTGACAATCCATTTGATTTTGTGTGTCATTAGGGTTTTGTTCTCAACCTAGTATTGTCCTCTTAAACCTTGTCATTGGCCCCATTTTCAAGAGTTGTGCTAATTGCCATTGGAGAGAGCATCCTGTGCTTGATTGTCATGCTTTGTGTGTGTGTGTGTGTGTGTGTGTGGTTTAATGATCAAAAGTAGATGAAATTTGTGGATAGTGTGTTCATGCTAGCAAGCCAAAACTCTATTTCTAATGGATGATTTTTCATTGGATTTTAGTGTTGTGAATCATTTGAGACACAGAAAGCAGTATGGCAAATGTTGCTTTTTGTGTGTAAGACAGTAACTTAATGTCAGCAAACTATGTCTACAATAATAAGCCTAGCATAGGAGCAATACTTTGATGCTGACTTAGAATTTGGTTGATGGTTTGCATCAGATGCCCTATATGTTTTGTTCAATCACATAATGACAGGTGCCAGCACTCAGTAGAAATCAAATCAAAGTGGATTGTAAATGGAAAATATACATATACATATATATATATATATATGAGTGATGATGATGAATAATGTAAATAATTAAATAACTTTTTTAGTGCAGCATAAAATTTATGTTTGAATAGTAGGAAAATATAGTAATCTATATCACATGTGCAACACATGCAATGAAAAACATGTTTGCTCATAATCAAATCATATGTATACATGCATTCACACATGCAAACTTCAGAGCTGCAATCAAAACATTCCACTAAAATTTAAGCATTCAAATGTTTATATTCTAAAATGTCCACATTTTTACAGAATATAATACATGTTCTGAAATTAAATGTAAGGGTAATACACACACATACATTATATATATATATATATATATATATATATAATCTGAATGTGAGTTTAAACTTTTTTAATGTGATATTCCATTTTATTATGCTTTATTGAAATGCCAAATTACATGCTGATACTCCAACATAAATTAATTGAATTATTTAATCAATTGATTTGTCAATTTGTTAAATTTTTCTTGTTTGATACCAAATTGCCCAAACAAAACTGATTTCAAGCAGCAGTCAATTCAAGAGACTTTTTCTTTTTAAATCTGGGTAATAACACATGGTTAGAGTGAAACTTGTATTATTATAGATTCTACTTCTAACATCCTCTCACAAGTACCGGTAAATAAATTGCATAGTTATGATGCATTCATAACATATTTAAAAAATGAAAATGAAAATGAAAATAAAAACAGACTGAGTTATTCCTAAATATTTTAGTATATTTTATTAAATAATAAAAAGATAAATGAGCTTATAAAAAACTGAAAATCTCTTGCAAGTTATTAAAATAAAAATAAAACACATATTAAGTAATTTTAATCATAAAATAACATAAAACAAAATTGCATAGTTTTTAAAAATAATTTCAAATACAAATGTTTTAAAAATACCTTGCATTTTATACATACTCCTTGTTCAATTTATGTATATTTGAACACCTTGAACTATTTGTGTTTATGTCAAAGTTCAATACAATGAAACAAAATATGTCATGACACAAACATATAATTAAGTACAAAAGGGTTGATGCTTGCAATATGTAATCTCTGTATATCACCACCCATCTTAGTCACTCAACCCTAAACATACAGAACTGACCAAAATGCTTTCAACAGATGTACCAAAGTTCACTATTCAAGAAACAGATGTTTATCTATTCATTCATTCATTCATTTATTTGGAGGGTTACTGATATAAAGTTATGTTTAAAAGAAAATAAGGATTTCATGTAGAAAATAAACACTGAGGACATACGCTAACGACAGAAAGAAAGATAGGGAGAAAGACAAAAAGTACCAAAGGAAAAGGAAGAAAAAGGAAGCCGGGCAGCCAGCCAGCCAAGACAAGGAGATCAAATCCTCCTCCATATTCACAAATAAGTGTATATATATATATATATAAGTGTGATGCAGGAGGGGGGGAGATGGACTTGGTGGTCGTACCTGGCTGGGCACGAGCTAACTCACCCACGGATGAATGAAATGAATGAATCAACGACGACGATGTGAATTTATGGATGATGAATGAAAGGAAGGAAGGAAGGATTGAAGTCCAAAGGGGAGGGAGGGAGAGGGTATTATTATGAATACGCACAGAACAAGCGCCACGAGACTCTCCTCTCCCCTTTTCTTTTTCTTTTTATTTCTTTCTTTGTCCCTTTTTTGCCCTGATTCCTAGGGGTGCGAGGAGAGCACCTCACATGCCCTATGGGAGAAGGAGGTTCCAGCCCCCCCCCCCATCTACCTACCTACCCACCTAGCACTGTCGCTCTCTGTATGTTTATCCCCCACCCGGCTAGCTCTGTATGTATGTATGCATATATATATATATATATATATATATGTGTGTGTGTACACATGTATGTAGGGGATTCATAGCCCGCCTATGGTAGTACCGACCACCCTAATCTATCCCTAGCCTAGTCTCGGCCCCTCTCCCTCCCTCCCTACTGTGCTTCTCCTGCCTGCCTTGCCCTGCCCTGCCAATCCGCCTATCGGGGGGGGGGGGGTGCTGCTTCACAAGCTTGGCTTTCGACCTTTGGGATACAGCCCCCTCAATTGAATAGCCTAGGCAGGCATTAGGAAAGATGCCGTCATAAAAGAAAGTTAGCTCCAAAGCGCATCATTCCGGCTTACCACGATCGATTTCAAAATACTAATAAGAATCCACTCACTCACTGTCTCTCTCTGGGATGGATGGATGGAAACAACAAAGAGAGAGAGAGAGCCCCCCGTCCTCCTCAGAGGACGGCAGATGGGGAGGGGGACTGGGAGGAGGAATCGCAGTGGTGGTGGCATTCAATCAGGGGCATTCATTCATTCCATCATTCATTCCATCATTCATTCATTCCAGTAAATGGAAGGGAATTGCGCAGCCCGATTGGTTTGCGAGCCTCTTTTTTCCTTCGGGTAAGTAAGTTGGTAAGCGGGGGCGCCGGGGGCCGGGGGCCGGGGAGAGCTAATTTGTTGGTTGGGTTGAGTGTGTATGTTGTTCCTTTTTGCCCGAGAGGGGGGCCCTCCAGGAACCCAGGATGGATGAATGGATGATTAATTTTTGCGGGGGGGGGGGGTGGGAAAGCGACGGACGGAGCCTTCTCACACCAACCTCGGGGGGTGGGTGCATGGTCTGGGTCTGGGTCTGGGGGGTGGAGTAGAGAGCGTAGTAGTCGCATTGTGGTGGTGGTGGTGTAGCCTCGCAGTTCTCGCGCCTTACGTTTGTTCTTCTCCCTCCTCCTCCTCCTTCTCAACTTTCTTTAGTCTCTTCTCTTCTCTTCTCTCTCCCTCGCTCTCTCTCTCTCTCTCGATCTCCCTCTCTCTGTCTCTGTCTCGTTCGTTAGCAAGGTTGAGACACTCTTTGCCACGCTGCCATTGAGCTTCGATCGATTGTTGTGAGTAGGTTTTGCGGAGCGTTCTGCGCGTGGCGGCAGTGATGCTTTCTTGAGGTTGCAGCTTGAGGCGAGGGAAAACGTCATCTGGGCGTCGTTGGGGGGAGCTTTGTGTGTGTTTAGGGGACGGTTGCTGGAAGCGGTGGATATGGACGAATCGGTGGAAGTAGGGAAACGAGAGCATGTACTAGTGGTTGTGGTGTTGTAGCGGGTGGCTTCAGTCTTGCGAGGTTTGAGTTTAGAGTTGCTGGAGTTGGGAGGTTTGTGGACAGAAGGGGTGTGTTGTGGGAAATGTGTTGGAGGAGGGGGGGTTTAATTGGAAGGGATTGGGGAAGATAGAAGCGGTGATTGGCGGCTCTGAGATCTTGATCGAGAGTATGTAATGGGTGTAGGAAGAGGGAGAAGAGGTGGCGGGGGAAGAGGTGCAGCGGGACATTGCATGCTGTGTGCATCATGGGTGGAGGGCACTTAAGTAGCAGAAGTGGAGACGATATGGCGGAGGGGAACCTAGGGCCAACCATGACAAGCCTCCAGCAACAGCCTCTGCCGCTGATTCCAAATCCCCACAATAGTCGGCCGTGTTACAGCGCCACCAACAGCTCAAGTAGTAATGCTCGCGGGGCAAATCTTGCGAAATTGGACACTCCCGATGCGTTCCCCGCTGGGCTGCGGGTGCTCGTCGTCGATGATGAACCCGTTACCCTCATGGTCTTGGAGAAAATGCTTACCAACTGCTCTTACCGAGGTATCTTGTCCTTCTTATGACTATATGTTGCCTGGAAATACCCGCACGCCTGTATCGCCTATCTCTGGATGTGTAGATCATGTAAATTGGCTGCGAGACGTGCTGCGCAGCTTCACATGGAAGTGTGTACAGAATGATTAGGATTATGTGGTTTTGGAACAGCATTGACATCAGCTACGCATACATATTCTTTTAGATTTGAAGGACTTTGGCTATCTTTCCACGCTTTAGCATGCTCCGGCTTTCGAGAAGCCACTAGGGTCGACATTGTACATAATTCTGGTAGGCGTGAATGTGGTGGATCTCATGTTCAGTATGTGAGCTATGTCGATGATCTGTGGTGTGCGTGTTACTTGCAAGTAACTGGATTTTCAACGTTATTATAATACTCAGTATGGTGGAGCCGCAGTTCATCTCTTCACATTTTACTGGGCGTGTGAGGGCTAGGGTTCCATTTCAGCGTCCAGGAAATGTGTTTCGGGTTATTGCTGACAGACCATCACTTACTCGTTTTCGAAAGCCACTTGATCCTTGTTCATTCCTGCGGGCTTACTATTAATCTTTAATTTTCTCCAGTTACTACATGCGGACGAGCGACAGATGCACTGTGTTTACTTAGGGAAGACATCGACAAGTTTGATCTCGTCATCAGTGATGTTAACATGCCGGATATGGATGGATTTAAGCTGCTGGAGCTTGTGGGGCTAGAAATGGACCTGCCTGTCATAAGTAAGTATCAGCTGCATGAACTCAGATGATTCTGGTTTGAGTTGAGTAGGTTTATGATTCACTTACTTTGTTGGGGTGATCTTTAATCAGGTGTAGTTTACCTGCAGTTCATTTCTGTTTCATACCAAGACACAATTGTCTTGTTCTCTGAATTCATCATTCCTTTCCTGCCGATGCAGTGATGTCTGGAAACGGAGAGACGAGCGCAGTTATGAAGGGTATCACGCATGGTGCGTGCGACTATCTTCTTAAACCAGTGAGACAAAAGGAATTAAGAAATATCTGGCAACACGTGGTTAGAAAGAGACGACAGGATGTAAAAATTGCTCGCGAAACGAAGAGTGTTGAGGAAGGTGGCGTCTGCGTTAGGGAGAAGCGAACTGGGCCAGACGATGTGGACTACACGTCGTCTGCCACTGGTGACACTGGTGACGGAAATTGGAGGAAAAAAAGAAAAGGAGAGAACCAGACGTTCAAAGACGAAACTGAAGAAGATGTTGAGCAGGAGAATGATGACCCGTCCACAATGAAAAAACCCCGAGTAGTGTGGTCTGTGGAACTTCATCAACAGTTCGTCAGTGCTGTGAATCAACTAGGAATAGACAGTAAGTTGTCATTCCATCTTTTTGTGCTGTACCAGAGGAGTCTGGAGTTGTGCCTGTCGTCAATTGCAAAACAAACATGCGATAGTCACCAACTGAAGTATCAAGTCTACCAAAGTGCTGGCCACTCCTGGAAATTGGTTTATGTAGAATGTGCTTTCTTTATCAATAATTTAACACGTGTGTAAGCTCATGGATTCCCACAATATAAAAACGCCTGCTCATCCTATTGTGATTCAGGAGCTGTCCCGAAGAGAATACTGGAGTTGATGGGTGTGCACGGTCTCACACGTGAAAATGTTGCCAGCCACCTGCAGGTGATTCGACATCCTACCTCTACGCTAATTAAAACATTCTTCATTTCGTTTTGACATATTCTTGTTTTGTATTCTCTCCATTACGCTCGGTAACTTTTTCTCGTATTCATCTGTTTGTGCAATTTCGGCGTTCCTTCTTGAATTTAAAGTGTCTTTTAAGCGTCTTTTTTCTAGTTGTCCTCTCAACCAGTTTAGCTGCGTACTAATTCCTCGGTTCTTTTGGTTGTACAGAAATACCGCTTATATTTAAAGAGAATCAGTGGCGTCAGTAATCAGCAGAGTAATATGAGCGCACATTTTGGAGGACCTGAGCCATTCTCTATGCTGTCTCCTGATATGAGTGTGAGTATAGCAAACGGGCAGCTGAATCCTCAGGCCTTGGCCCAATTCCACATGCTGGGCAGGATGAATTCATCCAATGGAGTAGGTTTTTCTGGTGGCCTCGACCCCATGTTAAGTCACCAAATTTTTCTGCAGGACTTGCCTAGACCTCCTCATTTGAATAACATGCTCAAAAGAAACACCGGCATGCTCTCTCCTCTGCCAAACGCAATGCCACACTTGGAACCTCAACTCGCTGAGTGTCACCATAGCAGCCACCACCTGCCTGTGATGAATGAATTGGAAGACTTCTCTACCAATTCCAAGGTTTTTCCACAGATGAATGGTAACCTTGACGTATCTATTGCGTCTCTAGGAGTCGGGAATGGAGGCCTTGGCTCCAACCCTAGCAATGACACACTATTGATGCATATGCTACAGTCACGGACAGCTCAGCAAGGTAGCGCGTTATCGCCAACTTTGCCACAACCTAGAGGTGGTCTGACTCCAACTCATCTTCTATCCAATGATGTCGGTTTTGCTTCTGTTGGTTCATTGCCAAACTTGGCCCCTGCTGTTGGATTATCAGCCATAACTGGATCAGGTGGCGCAAGGGATCTCTCACCCTCAGCAGTTGGCACAGGAGGCTCTTTATCAAGTCCTCTGGGACCTTTAGTCCGGCGGCCGCTGATGGTTGAAGAGCCATCTAATCTTGTGAACTTCAGCATGGCTCCCTCTGTTCAATCACCGAAACCTGGAGGTGGTGCAGGTGTGAATGAGAGCTTGGATCAGCAGCCGACAATGTGGGGATTGTATAACCCTTTAACCCAATTAAACCCTGGGCACTCACGGGGGCTTTCTCAGGACAATTTCCCATGGTCGGGATTGGCCGTGAATCTAGGTTTGGGAGACAGCCAGTCTTTAAGCGTGGGTATGAGTTCGGGCTTAGGCGCCCAGTTTTCACCTCAAGGTCAAGACCATGGGATTGGGTTTGCATCTCCTGGACAGGGGTCGTACAATCGCCAAAATGTGAGCTTTCCAGTAAGTTCCGCACTGGATGGCAGAATGGTTAGGTCTTCTTACGAGCCGTAAGGTCTTCTAGTCGGGTAGAGAACCTGAAGCTCATAACTGCGGTAGGCTAATGACATCTAAGCTTTATTATATGAAATTCTAACCAGCTGCAATGAGGGGTTCTGTAATAGTTTGCTGAGAGTTTTCTCCCTTTAAAGTCTGTCTGTTCAGACAATTTGGAACAGCTACTCTTTGAGGTCCTTGCTTTTAACCTCGTAGTGCGCGTAGTTCGGAGAAGGTCATTAGGCCATGTGGTTTTTCTAATTGAAGCAGGCGGCAGCAGTTCTAGCCCTTGCTTGAAACAGCCGTTGCACTACGTCGATTTCAATCTTCTGGAAGGCGGTGCTCCCCATGCAGTTACAAATTCAGTGATAAGTCGATTCGGCAATCAAGATACTCCACTGTGCGCCAGGGTAATCGTTGGTGCTAATCTGCTGACGAGACTCTTGGGGAGCTCAGTTACACCCTGTTCATGTAATTCAAACTTTCGCCTTATGACATTCTCAAAACTCTAGAAAAATGCTCGGACCTGCTGCGTATTTTTGGACCCGCCCGCATTGTGCTTGTATCTGCATGGCAGACTTGTTTTGATGAATTAGATCCTTTTGGATGGGAACAGCCTCTTTTTTTTTTTTTTTTTTTTTTTTTTTTTTTTAATACTTAAAAACTTTTCCTTCCTCCTCCTCCGGATCCACATGGCAGGTGTGTGCGAGAAATGGCTCTCGCCATTCTTATTTTCCTTGTTCTGCACTCTGGGATTTATTTATGATTCTTGACACAGTATTCTCAACGCTATGAAGCGCTAGTGATATTTCATAGTAACAGTGACATTAACAACTTATCTTCTCAGACTAGGGATTCCTGAGGAATAATGTTGAAGTGCGATGAGTATCCTCAACCCCAAGGTTCCTTTCTCATGCTCGCTAATATTATATAACAGCATCAATAGGGTCCTTTTGAAATCAATTGAACCTTTTGCACAACTTCTGTGTGAGCCTGAATAATGTTTTCAGGCCGAAGTGCTACCTTCCTTCCACTCATGCACAGGAATCATTTTGTCAAAAGAATTCATGTGTTGGGCTCTTGACTATTTGGAGCTGCTTGAGACGGCCAAATTAGGAAATCACGTAAAACACAATGGAGAATCACATGATGCGGCCAGACTTCATTAATGAAATGATTTAATTCCATACATCCTTTACATCTAATAAATGGGTGGGAATACGTCTATGTCCCGTGCTTCAAGCCACAACACATTATGGTAATCCTTGTCGTAAAGTGTGTCGACCTAGGGCGTTCTCAACTGCGTTTACATTACAGGCATAAGTAAGTGGAACCGAGTAATATTGATGCTCATTTATTTGTACATTAAATTAAGTACAAATTGGTCTATTTATTATCATTATTATTAATATTATTATTATTTTGATACAGATTATTGCATTGTATAAGCATTTCCTTCAAGTCTTTCTATGAAATTGTTAGAATGCCTTTTGAACTTACAAATATACCAATAACTTTTTAACATCTAATGAATGATATATTTTAAGAGTTTTTGGATAATTTTTTTTTTTGATTTAAAAAAAAATCAAATTCAGATTTTGAAAAAAACACTCAGTGTTTCTTGTATTCTGTTCTTAAAATTGTCATAAACACGAAGGAGACCATTTGTTATTACTTATTGTTCTTACACTCCCTACCACCAAAGGGCCAAAACTAAATATCATCTAGATTAGAATTTGGAATTGTATATATATATATACATATATATATATTTTACATCCATTTGTGGATTTTGGGCATCTTTCTTTTTATTTTGACTTTGCTTGCTTGTGCCAAAACACTTCTAAATCAGGAACCCACAGTTAAGAGGAAGAAAAGATGGTAAGGGACCAAATATTAATGGGAGAAAAAAGAGTGTGAAGGGCAAGAAGAAGAAGAAGAAGAGGGACAAGGGGCTCCTAAACCAAAATTGAATTTGTGGTAAGAAGAGTTGCCACCTCTACCTTTGGGGTTTAAATCTCAAATTTCAAGGTCCTTTCTAGATTCCTCATCCAACCACACCACCCTCTCTAGCTGGTGACCATTCTTGCCATTTTTTTTTATTTTTTTTATTTTTATTGTTTATATTAAAATGAATTTCTTTGTATTTGTTGCCATGAGGCAATGAATAAGTAGGAAATGGTTTCGGCAAAATTTTAAGTGGATGGTTGTGGATGATATCATACTTTGTAGTATTCATTAGTGGTACTAATTTAGAGAATGTCTTGCCGCAACAACCACCAAAGCTCTCAAAGTTTTAATTACCTTTCTTATGATTTGCAAATAGTAATAATAATATTAATAATCATAACTATACTATTTTTTTTTCTTGAAAGAAGAAAAATAACTAATAAAGAATAAATAAAATAAATAAACAATAACTAATCAATAAATAATAAAACAAAGGATAAAAAATAATAATGAAGAATAATAACTAATAATATTAAATGTTAAGATTAGTTTAAATTTTGATGCAGAATTATATAAAATTCTAATTCACTATTTCAAATATTTTTAGGTCTATTTATTTATTTTTGTTTATATGTATATGTATATATATATATATATATATACACACACACATATACATTTGTGGTTAAAACTAATCAATTCCTTAAACACATTATTATTTTAGTCCACTGCATAGTAATGGACTTAAACATTTTTAAGTCCATGGACAGTGAAAAATCAGCAGACATCTCACCCAATGCATGCTGCCAATGATGCAAGACTGAAGAAAAAATGAAGACTTAATCGCTACTAATACTCTCCATGCCTCGCTTTCAGACGACATCATCATCGACAAATCAGTGTTGTTTCCTCCTTTGATAGGTCACAGTCACTAGATGATGCTGTTGTTTTCGTTGTTGTTTTGAAGTCTCTACATCTGTTAGGTCACAATTTTTATGGTGGTTGATGAAGTTTTGGGTTTTGAGATCTCTGCATTTTGTGGTTGTTCTGAGATTATGACCTGAGACTTGGATTCAGTTCGAGATGTATCAACACCACGCACGTCTCAGTGTGTGGTTTCTTCAAGGAGAGTAGGAGACGGATTGCCGGCGAGTTTCTGCATACTAGTGGGTGTTGAAATACCAAATCCTGCATATTGGTTGCGCATCTCCCACTTCTAGACAGAATCACAAAACCATCACCTGATGATCCTGGTTTGGTTGGTAATCTAGCATTACTTAGATATCGACAAGCTAACGACCAAAACTGCAGGTATCCTCTGTGAATCGGAATCTGCGGCAAAAAGCTGGAAACTCGTTGAAGACGCTCAGTTACCTCCATGAAAAGCGATTCATAATCGGATGTCTGGCTCCGGGAGGTAAACTAAGTGCTGTGATCGTAGTTCCCGGCTTCTTCAACCACCACTCCGTCTGGCCACGTTAAACGTGTTGATCGAGTGCGTTGCTGTAATCCATTGAGTTCCCTAGCGTTAAATACCGGGAATTTAGGTTTCCATTTACATCGTGGGTTCCAAATTATTGTTCTCCCGCACGGAATTTCTTTAATCTCATGCAGTGTAAATGGCTATTCATAAATCCTCCGAAAATCCACTTCACCATAACTCTTCCCGCAGTCTTCGAAAATCTGAGCCGGGCGAAACGATGTGCAAGCGTAGTTGCCACAACCAGCCCAAGACTAAAATGGCTGCAGGAAGGAGAGCATCGACACCACCTCACAACTTTTAACAATTTGAGCTTCTCGCAGTAGTAACATTATTGGGAACTGTGTCCATAGCTGTACACCCAGCAGCGGCGATCGAAGACTTTTGCATCGCAGACCTCACAAGCGGAATTCACAGAAACGGCTACCCCTGTAAGAAGATCACGAAAGTCACCAACGAGGACTTCGTGTACCGTGGTCTCCGTGAGCAAGCCCGCAGCCCCCACTCATCTCCCACTGGCAGCATCACCACCCTAGGTTTCGTGAACGAGTTTCCAGGATTAAACTTCCAGGGGTGCGCCACAGCGAGAGTCGACTACGAATCCGACGGGTGTAACCCGCCACACTGGCATCCGCGCGGCAGCGAGAAGTAGGTGCTGCAGGGCGAGATATCGTCGCCTTCGTGGACGCAGAGCAGAACAGGCTGCGGTACAGCAACTTGCACGAGGGCGACATTTACGTGTTTCCTCGGGGACTGATCCACTACCAGCACAACGTTGACAAGCTTCCGGCGGTTGCTTCTATCTTCCTCGACAGCCAGGACCAGGGACACCAAGAAGCCGGCAATTCCATGTTCGGGTCCGGCATCCGCAACGACGTGCTCCAGAGAAGCTTCGATCTCACCGACACAGAAGTGTCGAAACTCAAGGTGTTCTTCAGCAGCACGGATAAGCAATAATTAAAATAAGCAATAAATAAAATTTCTTGTGGTAATAAACACAATTATTTGTATCTTAAATAAATCTTTATATATTAGTATTTACAACTAGTATATTATAATGAATTATGCAACTATCTAATATTTAGCAAAATACACTAATATTGGTATTTATTTTCTACAGTTCCAATCTTATTATTCCTTTTTTGTATGTTAATGTTTCTTTATTTTTGATACTAAACATCACTAACTATATAAATTCAAAATGTTCAAATCTTGGTTCTTCATCTAATAAATTGAACTCCAAAATAATGGAGTGTAAACATTGTAAGTAATTGTGCATAGGATATGATATTTTTTAACATTTAATTTATGATGTTTTATGATATCTTTGACTAGCTTGCATGTGAAATAGATTTTTTTGAGACTTTTAATAGAGTATGAAGAAATAGAGCACAAGAAAGAGTGGTCTAATATTTTAAATATTAAAAAGTTAGGTAGTAATAGTAGTTCAAGGTTAAGTTAAATAAAAGTTGAATTTATGTGTAGCAAAAATGCATATAAGAGCTGCAAGTAAAGAAGCACAAGTACTAACAAAGCTTATAGCAAATACGAAGTTATTTGCCAATAACAAAATATGACACTTATTAGATATTATTTATAACTAAAGAAATATGCAATTTTTTTAGAGATTGACAAGTTATCTTAGTAGTATTATACTAAGGTGTGATATTTTACCGTTAAAAAAATATGAGTTCTATGATAAAAGAACTTAAGAATTAGAAAACATAGTTTGATATGTGGCTAGTTTTTATATATTGGAAGCATCTCATAAATATGTTATAGATCCTAATGGTATAAGAGTGGTCAAGTGGTGTGTCTTTTTATTTTTCTTCAACTAAAACATATGATAGTTAATATGAGATTACTACTAGATAATTGAGCATTATGGATAATATTAAAAGACATTTTAAGTAAATATTTGGCATTACTATTGTCCATGCATTAAATAAGTATAAAAAAAGATGCAAGTTGTAGAATGATTTATTCAATTCATACTTGAATGGCAACAATTGGATTTTTAGATGAAATTGGAATATAAATAAGAAGATAAAAGAAAGATTATCTAATTGTAGTAGATTTTAAGCATGAAAAGAAATTAATGTAAGAAATTATTTTTAATCTAATTAGAATCTAGAAGTCTTCTTCTTTTTAGGTCGACAACTTAGATTCTTTTGGAATCAAAGTTTTTGCTTTATTAGATAGATTTTATATTGGAACTAAAGGTGCCAACAATGACTATATTATAATGTAGAATAAAAAGTGATGTGGATGTATTCTATTTAATTCTCATAGAATTTTCAATTTACTATAATAATATAACATCTTTATAAAACTAATTAAAATTATAACTAATAATGACAAAGCTTCCAAAGCTTTTAAGAATAAAGAGCTAAGCATCATCGATACTTACTATTATTGTATTTTTCTTCACTTAATAATGGTTGTTGTCATTTTTCTTAACTCTATTCTATTATTGACATGTGGATAATTATCTATTTTGGAGATACTTTTTAAAAATGCTCACCATTTGTTAAAGACACAAATTGGAAGAAGATACATAAACTTATGAAATCTACATCAAAAAAGAAAGTGACAAAATAAAAGAAAGTATATATATTCAAGGAAGAACTAGAATGGCTATTGCCAAAGACTAGAAAACATAAGACTCTTGAAACTAAACTAAAAGCAAGAAAGGAGTTGACAAGAGTGAAGAAGGTTTCACTCTTGCCTCTATATATACTATCTAACTAGAAGCTATGTGGCGATGTTCTATAGGACCTTTAATATGTGTTGACTTTGTAAGATACATGCTTTAGTTTACAAGGCAAGTTTTCTATGTGTAGGCCACATAGTTGACTTGTTCTTTAAGCTATCAATATGTGTGGCACATGGCCAACTTCTTGACCATGTTTCTAATCTAAAAAGTTAATTAAAGACACCTATAAAATTAAAGCAATATCTATGAAGCTTCTAGAAAGCTTCTATAGAAGATATTATGGAATTGACTTATTTTTATCTAATATTATCTAAATCATATAAGTAATTATTGGTTTACATATATATGTCGGTGATATTATCCTCCCTTCTAGAAATGAGTTCCATGAGGAGCAATTTTCATATATTGAAGAAATCGAAGATGCAGCAAATTATATTTGCCACATACTCTGATCTTTGTTCTCTTCGAAGATAGTTGATAGGCCCTCTCAGCTATTGTTAGTGTCTTATACCAGGGCGGGAAGACCACCCTATTATTTGATCATTGTTGAGGCTTTTATAACTTCTTTCAAATAAAACATTTGGAATACTGTCAAGAGTTGTTCTTACTTCTAATAAAATTATCAAACATCGAAAGTCTCTTCCAGGTTGTAATACCAAACGCGTTATATCTCATTATATATTCAAGGAAGAACATGTCATTTTTGAGGATCTTTACCTTCATTGCATCGTCTTGAAGGTTGTGAAAATCACAATTTTTCATCCAACAAGTTAGCAAAATAAGGCTCTTCAATTGAATCCACTGATTGTTGGTTCTCCATCTCTTTAGCATCACAAATATAAAGAAGTTACAAACAAGGATTGAAAGTAGAATGTTATCTTGCATAGATCTTGTTTCTTTTATAGAGAAAGTCTTCATATTGATTTTGATTGATGTAGTCAATGAAAAGCCTCCACCTTCTTTGTTGAATTTGTAAGAGTCTTTGCGGGCTCCCATGTGCATTCACTTATATTGTATCTGGGCCAATGAACAAGATATTTCAACTTATTTTGGTGTCGCCTTGAGTCTAAGACTTCTTTTACTTCAAATTCTTCATTATTGTCCACTTCTATAGGAGGAAGTGGCACTTATCTTCTTCTTGGTATATTTACTATCTTGTATGGTTCAAGAAGAGACACATAGAATATTGGATGGATTTTCATTGACTCTTGTAGGTGTAAACAATATGCAACTGGATTGATTTCTGTAAAAATAATAAATGATCTAAGCTTACGATAGTTCAACTTGTCACAAGGATGAATAGTCTTGATATTACGATGAAGTAACCATACCTTGTCACTCACATGGAATGGTGGTTGTTCCTTTTGATAGACATCCACATTGAACTTTTGTTGTTCTTGAGCTTCTTTTAAGTGTACCTTCATTGTTGTATGTAACTCTGAAAAACGACTTATCAAATCTTCCATTGCATGATTATCAGCTTCTAAAAAGTCTAAAGTATCAAGTTGTGGATGATAATCATAATTGGCAAAGAAAGATGTTTATTTTGTAGAAGAATATACTGTATTATTATAAACAAACTCTGCTAATGGCAAAAGAGTTGTTCAATCATCTTATTGGTAGTTGATGGTATATCTTAAATACTACTCCAAAACTTGATTAATATACTTTATTTGTCCATCAGTTTGAGGACGGTGTCGGGATAAAAAGAGTTTGCTTCAAAAAAGCACTGGACTTTTGGCTGCCACTAAATGCTCAATTAAGTCTAAGATATAAAAGTATCAAGTTTATACATATAATATTTTCTCTTTTAGGGCAATTGCATCTACATATAAATCCAAGTACCAAAAAAACACCCAAATATATGATAAAGTAACTTAAAACCTTATATATCCTTATGAAAAATGTTTCTTGAACTTCAACAACTCATATCTCATGATTGGACTGTCCAAAAAACCTAAAATTTTACATAAAGTATTAATATACTTTCAAAAACTACCACAAAAAAATTCAATTGAAAATTCATTACGGATCTTGAGATATCACCAAAACTCTAACAATAGCTTTAAATTCTAGCTTACATACACCCACTTGCTATTTTCTTCATATATCACAAAATAAGTATTTAAATACCATGACACCTTCATCTATAGCTTCTTAACCTAATAATTCACACTTATGGAAATTTTTAGCCAAAAATTCATCGAAAAACTCAAGATATGGCTCCAACCATTACTATCAACAAAATGACTAACTTACTACCTTTGATTTACATGTGTTGTCTTCAAAGCCTTATAACTCCTTTATCTAGACTCGGAATTCGTCAAAAAGTATATAGAAATTGTAGCCAAAAAAGTGTTATTTTTAGTTCCAGTCACCGATATTTCATTGCTCTTTTTACGCATATGTTATGCTTCAAAGAGTGACAATAGATACAAATTTGACACCTTAACTTTGAACACCTATATTTCCTTCACAAAAACTTGAAATCACACAAAATCTTTACCCAAATTATACTCAAAATCCTGAACTTACTGATCTTAGCTTCTAAAGCTCAAATAAACTTGAAAGAGAAATCCTTATTTCTAATAAGGCCTCGGGCAGCCTCCTTGAAGTCCATTGGGCATGGCCTTCGACCAATAGGAATGAAGATCTCGATTCCTTGCCTTCATCCAACCATGCTTTACTTTCATCTCTCCCAATAAGTCTTCTACTAGTTAAAAATTACTTCTTTAGGTTCTAATCTCCTCTCAAGGCTTCATATTAAATATTTAGGTCTTATAATTTTTTTAAATGCTATAATCAAAATAGATAAAATTTAAAATAAAGTTTCTTAAATCCACTCTTTTTAAATTAATCTATTAATCATTTTAACACACACCAAGATTTATGAACATATTATATGTTATAACTAATTTTTACATATTATAAGCATTGACAGTAGGACAACGAAATACTGAAGATAGTTTTATATCCACTTTTAGAATCTTGAAAAGAATCTATCAAAACCTTGATACAAACTAAGTTTTCCTATCTGATATAATATCCTTGAGTAATCCATGATAGCGATAGATGTTGTTAAAAAAGAGTTTAGCTATTTTTTTACCTGTGATAGATTTTGTATATGACACAAAATGAGCCAACTTGGTAAAACGATTTACTATCATGAATATAGAGTCATAAGAACCTAAGATTGGAAGATCTATGATGAAATCCATTGAAACAAAAGACCATAGTTGTTCTAG